TAGGAACAAGGTTCGCTACTAGTAACAAAGGGCATCGCTACTAGGAGAAAGGTTCGCTACTAGGGGCTTCTGGCATCGCTACTAGGAACAAGAAGCTACTAGTAACAAAGGGCATCACTACTATATGATATATATAGCTGCTCTCACAACATGCAGACAGCTCAGGGGATGCTACGAGCAAGTGATCAGCTTTTACAAGCAACTGCTGTATTGGTATCATTCTAGAAGTGCTCATCGGCGCTTCCGATTGAGACTATGTCCCAACCAAGATCCCACAGCATCACACAGAAACCACGTGAAGTCTCCGAGCAAAAGCTTCTCTCGCCCGGTGAAGAGGGGCTCCGCGCAAGAGGCCGTGAAGTCTCCCACGTAAGCACCAGGACAGTCCTGGTGCAGTTTCAGCCAGACCGATCGCTTGGTGGAACAACCAGACCGATCGATCGGTTCTTTTGGTTGTTTGCATCTTTCACGGACATGCTTGTTAGGTTGGAGGCCATCGCTTCTTTAGGTTGGAGGCCATTGCTAGCTAGGTTTCAGTGACCATCCGCCAGTGGCTCCTGCAGTGTGGCAGTTGCACCATCCGCCAGGATAGCCTCAGTGAAAACATAGGGTTTCACATTCAAGGCTTCATCAATCCCAGAGTTTTAACTTGGCAGCTCGATATCTCCTCTGCGCTCAGCGCTCTGGGCAATTGAGGGGATTTACAGTCTCTGTCTGCGATGTTGACCAAATGGGTTCCGTTCCATATTGGAGTCACTTGCAGACCTGCCAAATCTCATGAACTGATGAACCGACTCCCAACCCGCTTTCCGTGAAGCCTCTTTCCACCTCTTGGGTTGATGACGTTCTGTCCCCAATATGTCGAACATCCACTGCCTCACCCTGAAGGCACACCCACTGCGGCACGGGTAAGAAGATGTTCGATGCACGAGCTGAGAGACCCTCACACCCAATGGCACATCGCTGTTGAAGACCTGCCCAAAGCAGAACGGGGTCGGTTCGAAGCACGGCTCCTTGGATGCAGATGAGTCAAAGTCTGTTCAGCATTTATACAATTATATATATATATGTGTGTATCCTCCAGGATATGGAGCCAGAAGGGTATGGTTGAATCCTGCTAACGCAAATCGTCGGCGGTGTCTCCTGGTTTGGATGTGTTTTGTGTTCTTCTGAGCGGTTGGGGCCTCGGCAACCTTCTGTTTCATGTAGAACTGATCAGCTGCTTTTTGCACTTCCAACTCTTAGGCTCTCAAATCAACCAACAATGCATCTCTATAGTCTCTATACTCTTATTGGACCTCTACTGCCCCTGGCCCCACTATCATCTAAGAAATCAAAGCCCCTCGGGAGGGGGGGGGCAAACCCATCGGAAACCAACTTTTTCACACCTTTCCGAGGCCTTTCAGGCAGACAGGAGGCCCTCGATCGCTACTAGGGTGGAGGCCATCCCTACTAGGGTGAAGGCCATTGCTACTAGGTTGGAGGCCACCGCTATCAGGTTGGAGTTGGAGGCCATTGCTTTTGAGTTAGAGGCTTTTCGGTTGGAGGCCATCGCTCTTCGAACACCCACACTTCCCTTCGCTCTCTTCGCTCTTGCAGGGCCGCCGGCGCGGTCGCGGGACGCGCCGCGCGCCGCGCCTGTGCGGTATCGGTGGCGGCACATCCCACGGAGCATGAGCTGACAACTGACCTCAAACGGATCCAAAAAGAGGCGAAGGAGGCGCGTGCTTTTGGAGTAAGTGGTGTCCGAAAATGCTTAGCATGGCAGACTTCCAGTGGTATGAAGATCGTATTTGGCTCGGTGGTAGAAAGAATGCTCTTGTCGGTCGGGGTGAATGTGTTATCCGCATTCCTTGAGGATTCCTGGGGACCAAAAGTGCTATCCGTTATTGATGTTTCTTTAGACTGCACACATCGAGTGCTTGATCATGCTGGATTGATCATAAGTAAGGCAAGCTGGACTTGAGGCAAAAAGGGACATGTCCAGTATGCTCTTGCTTAAAGGCTTAGATTGTTGAACATCATCCCAGACAAATTGTTTCGAACAGCTTCGTCATATCTCTTCATCCCACCAGAGAAACGTCTGAGGTCCCCCACACAGTGCCGGCACCTAGCTTCGACAAAGAACTGGATAGGTCCACCATCCAGTCATCTGGATAGGTCCACCCGGATCATTCCAAAATTCCATAGAACGCAACAGAACATCCCCGCTGGCCTCAAACCTAGTAGCGATGGCCTACTAGCGATGGCCTCCAACCTACTAGTGATGGCCTCCAACCTAGTAGTGATGGCCTCCAACCTACTAGGGATGGCCTCCAACCTACTAGCGATGGCCTCCAACCTAGTAACCATGGCCTCCAACCTACGAGTACTAGGGATGGCCTCCAACCCACACAAGAGAAGTCTTGGAAGCCAAAACGAGACGAGTTCGTGACAACATGTCACAAGGCATGGCATGGTTTTCAGGGGAGACCCACCATGGCATGGACCTACCCACCATCAGAAAGTTGAGTCCAAAGTCTCTAGAAGCAAACAACCACTAGACCACTAACTAGACCCTATGGTACTTGGTGAATGCAGGTGTTCAGTATACCATCCCTTCTTCGTGCATCCTTGAAGAAACGCAGGAAAAAACAAACATCTGCTCTAAATACTAAATCACCAATCATTTCATCAAGTGATCCCACGTCAAGATGTCAGATGATGTCAGATGCTGCTCTGTTGCACTGTTGGGAATATAATAAGTGTCTCAAAACTCTGTGAATTCAGGCCATCCCTAGTAGGTTGGAGGCCATCGCTTATTTAGGTTAGAGGCTTTTAGGTTGGAGGCCATCGACAAAATCCTCCAATCTCCAGCAGCTTTGTATCCGAGTTCCCAACTGCAGCTGACCTCTGCGACGTGCGGGGATAGAGAACAGAAACCGGACGGTGTCATGTACTGTAAAAGGATCATGGAGAGACCCTTCCTGGGCATCGATTTCATATCAAGGATTGGGGGATTGATTGACTTTGAACCTCTTTGAATCGTTGACTCATATGTTGTTATTTCTGTTATGTCTAGTGAAGACTAGTGAATATCCCATGTAAAACACATCAGCACACGTATGTCGTCCGCTCTTCCATAGGAGGTTCTGTCCCCCGCTGTGCTGAGAAGTGAACGTGTTGGTAGCGTGGCTCTGGTGAATGGACCATTGCCCTATAGGGATTGCTCCACTTGATTCAATGCTTTGGGTCCGAAAACGAAACTCTACCAGTCCGTCCTTACTGTTGACTTAATTCTCGAGTATACGCTTAAGATCGATCAAGGCGGAACGAGCACAATTCACGAGCTACCATAATTCTATAAGTCATCGGTCGACATCCTAAAAGAACACACACGCAAAACATTACAAAAAAAACAGGTGGTCACAACCGAAAGCAGGAGCTCCCCCCTTGGCTGAATCACGCGAACCCCCGTCGAACCCCCGTGCCGGTCGTCCGTCCACGAGACGTGCCGGTCGTCTGTCCCAGTCCGAACCTGCATGGTCCCAGTGTAATGGGCACCCAGGTCCTGGCGCGGCGGCGAACGGCGCGGTGCCCCAACCAACCGCGGCATATGAAACAGATGTTGGGTTTGGTGGTGCGAGACATCGAGGCTCGAGCAAAAAGGGGGGCTTTAGGTCAAGGTCGCCGCTACAGTAGGGCTGGAGGCCATCGCTTAAGGTTGAAAGAGGTCGAAAGACGTAGAATTCGGTCTCGGTCTTTGGGTCTACGCTGGGAAACTGAAGTTTTTGTGGGGCTCGGCCTGGGAAATCCAGCACTTGGCTTAGAGCAAGACACCAAAATGGGTCACATCTGCAGTTCAATCTCCGTAACCTGGGTGGGCTGGCAAGGTGTTTAATTAAATTGCTTTACGTGCAAATTCACACCTGTTCTTTTTGCGTTGTGATGCATGATCTGTGGACAACTGCGGGCGGCACCAACCTCACCAACCTTCAAGGAATATCCTCAAAGCCAAACATCTTCAACCCTTGTACTGGCTCAAGCGTGAACTTTCCTATTAGGTTGGAAGCCATCGCTATTAGTTTGGCTCAAGCGTGAACGCTCCACAAACTGAACTCAACATGGCTGTAACCCCCCTGGATGGTTCTCTCTAAGACCGTTCTAGTAGTAATGGCCTCCATCCTAGTAGCAGTGGCCTCCACCCTGACCAATGAACCCAGACTGGCCCTTGCTTGACAAACATGCCAGCCAAGCCGAGCATTGCTTGGTGGCCGTCTCGCCTTCCGCCATACGGGCCGCTGGAGAAACCTGTGCCAATCGCCGAAGAAAACGTCGCCGAACCTCCTCCGAGACCCTTGTGACTGACAGGTTGAAAAAGATGAAGATAGAAGGTAAGAAACCTGGAAGATTAAACCCTTATATCTTCCAAGTACTTTTCTGACAGGTTTATAGAACTGGGAAGGTCCGAAAAGTTGAACAAAACCTGATCGGTTCATCGATCTCGACCGATCCCAAATCGATGGGTTGGCGAATGGATGAGGCGAAGCGCGATAGCGATGCGGACGTGGCTGGGGAGGATGAAGTGTTGAAATCCAACCTAATAGCGCCAACCCAAGGATGAGATGGCCAACCTGATAGCGATGGCCAATGCTGCAAGCGGTTAATTTAGTCCCGCATCGAGAAACCGCTGGATCAGGTCGACTGGGGAAAAATGGGAGACAACTCTTGAGGGATGCCCCACCTTTCTTCAGTCTCCAATGAACAACTTTTCTACAAGTTCACACAGAGTCTCCAATGTGCTCCCGAGATCATCGCATCGGTACGTAAGTCTCCCGTTCTACGTCGCGCGAGTAAAGCAACTTGAAACAACAAGCGTCGTGCTGGGGAAAGCATCTTTCTTCAAGCTGCGAAGGAAAGAAGCTTCCAACGATGGACACCGAATCATCTGCAAACTCTTCCTCCCACATTATCCTTTTGAGACAGGAAAGGTTCCACCAGGAAAGCATGTTGAGTCGGATTCAATTACTTCAAACCACTCCTATTAGGCCATCGCTGGAGGCCATTCCTATTATAGGTTGGATTTCAACACTTCCTCTGATGGAACTGAACTCGTCCCTCGACAGCGTCACACCACCGACGCGCCGCACCGTATGGGTGGTAGGCCCCAGGGTCACATCTGCAGTATCGCTGGTGAGGCCTTGGGCGAGGCGCAGGCGCAGGAAGAGTGGGATGGGATTGATAAGATTCTGGGTGGCTCAGGTCAAACGCTTTGATCCTTGCTTCCGTCATCTTCCATCCCATGAATCTGAGGAATTCCATGGTTTTCACATGTTTTCACCGATTCAATACCAACCCAAGCCGAGGCAAAACTTTGATCCCAGGATCGGTCTTGCAGATCCTGCACTTCCCAAAGCAGCAAGAGATGTTTGTAAGGACTTCATGGATTCATCCAATCTGTTGGTTTTTCAGCCACCCATCTAGAAGATACAAACTTGGAAGAAAACACCTTGATCTTGATACAAAGTAAAGACCCACCTATAAATAGGGCAACTTTGTTCCGCACAGGTGGCTCAGCAGAGCCTTCGAAGGAAGTTGAACAAGCATATATTTATGATCTGTTTCAACGACCAGGAACAATGGAACTTGTGCGATCAAAGTTCGGCAAGTCTGAATCACCCCCCTCCCGGGCAAATAGCGATGCATCACTTCGAGTGATCCATCAGTCTGACGAGCTGGTGACTTCCTGTCATCTGGAGAAACCGAGATGAATCGAGAACACCACGCGCCAAGAGTTGCTACCTTTCAGCAAACATGTTTATATCATATCTTCTTTGATCCAAAACAGTCATGTTCCGTACACAAACTCAGGCACCTTGAGTATGATCCTCCATGATCCTCTACCTCAGCCTTGTCCATCTTTGAGGTCTTCGCCCTCCGATTCTTCGAAGAAGAAGACCCCAGCCACCCACCCTGCCAGCGGCAGGGGCATGACCCTCCGGGCTTCCCGCAGGCGAGCACGCAGGCCGAGTAGTCGGCAGAGAGGCCGCCCTTGATGCAAGTGACCTCGGGGGTCTTTCGATCGACCCACCGAGGGCCCGGGACGGATGGGGTCGGGTCTCCGCGGATGGGGCGAGGCCTGTTCGTGTGGAGAAAGGCGACCATGAGGCCCCAGGCACCAGGATGACAGGCTCAAAGATGCAAAGGTCTCAAGGAGCAAGCAAGCTACTAGGGGCTGCTGGCATCGCTACTATAGGGGCTCCTGGCCATACTACTAGTAACAAGAATGCTACGAACGGAGCAAGGAAGCTACCTTGGAGCTCGTTCGCAATCTGGAGTGAAGGGTGCGGACCTCCAGCACTGGGTTCTGGTCAACGAGACGTGGAGCTTAGGGTGAACTTCCTTCCTGGCCTCCAACACTACTAGCGTCCGAACGCTCCGTTCGAGTCGCGATGCCCTTTGTTCCGTTCGTAGCGAACCTTGCTCCTATAGGTAGTAAGGCCAGGAGCCCCTAGTAGCGTCCTTGCTCCTGGTAGTAAGGCCAGGAGCCCCGTTCGTAGCGTCCTTGTTACTATACTAGCGATGGCCTCCTTGATGGTTTTTGAGATTTTGCGCTGTAGATTCTTCTCATGACGGAAGAGCACTAGGGTCACTGATGGGAGTCCTTGTGTCTTTCAAACATTTAGCCACACAAATCTATTTCTGGTTGAAGTTCACTATCGCAGTCAGTATTTGGCCGCGTTCATGATACCAATGCTCATCAATGTTCGACCAACTCCGAATCTGCCTACTACTAGGAGCAAGGACGCTACTAGTAGCTCCCGGCCTTACTACTATAGTAACAAGAAGCTACTAGTAACAAAGGGCATCGCTACTAGGAGCAAGGACGCTACTATAGTAGCTATTTGCACCTAGTAGTAATGCCCTTGTTACTAGTAGCGATGCCCTTGTTATTACTAGCAAGGACGCTACTACTCAAATGGACGATCTCACCGGCCTGGACGATTTCTACCAAAGCTGTAGCTTGAACAACCAAAACGGTCGGCAGTCTGAAACCGGTTTTTGGTCAAGTCGACTTGGGCCTTTCAAAAGATTGGATGCTACCGGATATAGCCAGTCACATCCTTCCCTTCGATTCTCAAGCAACCGCCTGCACTCCCGAACTCGACAAATCCTCCGCATCCCGAGCGGTGATGTCATGGTCATAGTTCTCCTTCACCTGAGAGTGGAACGCCGGTTCCACCGGACCCCCACAGTTTCGTGTCGCAACCCGCGCGAAACGTGTCACGAGGGGCGACTGGAGTCCAAGAAAAAGAATGGATGGCACTGTTCAGTGGTACTTATTTTTTGGGGGGGAAGGGCCTGGTCCAGCAAAAATTAGTAGTCAAGAGACAAAACATTCCCATTGGGAACATCTACCCTGAGTTCTTCAAGCTCAAGAAATCACTGGGTTCAGAGGACTTCCTCTCATGGATTTGATGGATGTTTATCAAATGTCCTTCCAGCCAATCATTAAACCCAACATACACCCGGAACCCTTCTTGGGAAAAACACTGAAAGAAAGATGTGGTCCGGGGTGGCACATGGTTCCAAGCCTAGCATGGCGGGTTGTGCTCACCAAGCCGAATTCAGTCTATTGGACAGTTGAAGGGTATATGTTTCTTTTGTAAGTAGGTCATGCTACTAGCAGCGTCTTGATACTAGTAGTAATTTATGGCCAACCTAATAGCGATGGCCTGCAACCTACTAGCTTCTTGCTCCTAGTGGCGATGCACCTTGCTACTAGGAGCAATGCCAGGAGCTACTAGTAGCTTCCTGCTACTAGTAGCTTCCTGCTACTAGTAGCGATGCCTTTTGTTATTAATATGTTCTGTCCCACAACCTATTGGCAGCTTCTGCCTGAACAAGCACCAGTCCGTGATCAGAAGAATGCAGGTTGTCGTGAAAGACTGAGGGGAAGAACAATGAGGTCCTTCAAATTGAACAGCAAACACTACCAACAGCCAGCCACCTCTGCCTGATCTGCTGTCACCACTGCACCAGTCCACCTTCCTACGGATAGGGCACCGGACCGAGCTGCACGAACTTGTGACACTTTGACCATGAGCCACCTGATGGCATGGCGGCATGATCAAGGCGTTGTGGTGCGCTGATCACGGGGCACAAGAGAAACGCACATGTCGTCGGGGTTCAAATCATTCCATTCTTTGGACATCACGTACAGATATGGGCAGTGAAATTGGTGATGATCATGGGCCCATGGGTACTTTCCATCTGGTCATCTTTTGGCGACGTGATCCACGGTGTGACATCAACTTCGTGATCTGCTCCGCGGTGGGAAGAATGGACTCTGCGGCTTTCCGCGGTGGTGGACTTGCAAAGACCTTCGAGTGGAAGACGGCGTTCTCCCAGTTCAATCCATGAACATGACCGAGTTTGTTATCATGTTAATACTCTTGACAGATCATCCGATAAGTGGATGTTATTGGAGAATTGTAGAACTATAGAACTAAAATGAATTGACTAAACTTTCTGAGGGTGCTTGTAGCATAAGGATGAAGGATCTTGAAACAATCCATAATCCTTGAATCCCCCAATGCCAGCACAATCTCTTGCCTGTACGAAACTCCTACAGATACGAACCCCCCTAACCTTGCGCAATGAAAGCAAACCTGTCAAACCCCCCCGGTACAAACACCGTGTTTTGGATTCATTCCATTGCATGATGCTGAGAAGCAACCACCTTAACCAGCCGCCAAGCAATCCCGATCCGAGCAAAACACTGTTTATCCGGCCTCAGCAGCCAATGTGCGGCTGGCACTTTGGCCTCCCAGGTGCAACTCATAGCCCAGGTCCTTCTGTGGCATGCAAACACGCAGACTCCGCAGGAGTATGTCGCGTCTAGCGGTGGCCGGTGATCTTCGGGTGACGGTACATGTACCTTTTTTGTTGCAGAAACAGTTCAACAGGATTGAGCACAGGGAAGATCAGGGAAGACCTGGACAAATGAAAGAGCAAAGAGCAAAAACGGAGAATCCTTCGAACACCATGCGGGATCCTTCGCCGTGCGTCCATCGTCCATCCTCCTCGGTGCGGCGGCCGTCCTCCTCGACCGATCCGACCGTCCTCCTCGCAGGCGCGCTCGGCACATGTTTCTGAGCTCTGGGAGAGCACGCCATCAGTGCAGCTGAGCACCTGGGCACAGGTCAAAAGAGAAATCATCCATGGACCCGAAAATTTGGGGGGGTTAGGTGGCAAAACGAATTCGGTGAAGGATTTGGAAGGAGTTGATGCTTGAGAGATAAGGAAAAGGTTTAGTTTCCAACGCGACCGTTGGGAGGGATGTGTGGGATGTTCAGGATCCTTGGATGTTGGATTCATTCCAAGACATTCCAAGGGATTGGCCATGTACGAATGTAGGGGTCAATTTGTACAAACATGGAAGTAGTGCCGATGCAAACCATTTCCCAACTGATCCGGAATACATTCAAGCAATTGTGTAGCTAGGCTGCCTGTGAAGCACCACACACCAAGCAAGAAGGGAAATGAAATGAAACAAAAAAGGCTCTGAACATGTGTTTCACGCGTGGGCAACATGGTCGTGACCTATAGTGGCCCGTGCAACTGGGCGGCAAGGCATCACTAGCAGCTCTGAACAAAACCATTCATTTTCTGGTGGAGGCCATCGCTCTTAGGTTGGAGGCTTGGAGGCCTTGGAGGCCCGTCTGCCGTCTCCCCCTATGGGCCCAACGATGGATCCTGTGAAGCCCGTGTCCGCAGTGTTGCAGCCTTGCTGGCCAGCGGAGACGCCGCAGAGACATGCTTGTGCCGTAATTAACTGAAGGCGCGCAGAAGTGTAAACCTTAATTGCTCATGACGGAGCTTGGGATAAGCTGCTTTGAAATTCGCAGATTTTCCTCTTCGTTGGCCAAAAAGCACGGTGAAACTTGCAGCTTTCCGCGTGGTTCGCCGCAACGAGAGGTTTGAGGTTTTGTGTCAAACCACTAAGTGTACAAAGGGTACGCTGCACATGGCACAACCGGGACATCTCCACCCTGGTTAGCCTCACCTCTGCCCCACCTCCGCCCAACTCCGATCCGAGCTAAGCCCCGCGGCCCACGGAGCCCGTCTGCCCGTGCAGAATCTCCGCCGTGGTGGACACCGAATGGGGCGCACTGGCGAAGCTCACCGACACCGCAGCCGCCGGGCCTGACGTTCCGATGCGTCGTCACGGAGCGACGCCAGACGGTCTGTTTCACCGTGCTTTTATTTTTCCGGCTGGTTCGGTGGGTCATGGATGGTCATGTTGGGGGGCATTTCCACTTGGTGGATTTCCACCATCAATGAGCACAATCACTAGGATTTCTTCAATGGAGTCAGGTTGAAAGAAACCGGAATTTCAGGTGGGAGTTCCTCAGATGTGTTTTGTTCAAGATCCAAAGTTCGGTGAGTGGGATTTTAGACCATTTGTGATTTGAGAATGGGTTGTGCGGACCTCTCAACAAGTTGTTATTGTTCAGGGCCGCAACGACAGCTACCACAAAGGGTATAACCCCCATCAAGTAAGTGATTTGCACATATTTGCACAACAACATGTATCATACATGTTTGCAGTCATCGATTGGTAGGGAACCATTGTGTTAGACCTTCTAGATCATGACATGACTTCTCAGGAGGTTTGCCATGCGCAACATTGTGCAACTGAGGCCACTCACATGGTGCCTTGCAAGCGCTCAGGTCTGCCTCAGATGTCAGCATGTGTCAGTTCGCCCAGCGCTTGTGTGACGGGCGTGACAGGTGTAAGTCCACCTAACAGGATTGTTTTGTAAGTTGTAGGTTGGAACGCTGGGCCGCCAAGAAACTGTGATCACTCCCTCGTTGCAGGTCAAGGTGATGTCACCCAGGTAGCCTGGCGCCGGGGTGGCTTCCATTGTTTATAGGTCACTCAGAGACTCAACAAAATGCAAAAGGGTGAGTGAGCGACCACCGTCGCACAAAGGTGTACAACCAGACTCTTTAGTTCGAAATTCGATGGTTTCGAGATGGATACCTGTTGCAACTACAAGGAATACCCGCACTCTCCAAAGCAAGACCTCCCAACTCCGCGAACCATGCTTGCCTAATACCACAAGGCTCCCAGTTGTTTTGATCTTTCGGATGCCAATCCGTTTCATACGATCCCACATGTCTACTCCTCAAAAGCAACAGTCATGTCTACTCCACTTTGTTTCGATTACAGATTTGATGGGATCCGGAGGTCTTTAGAACTCTCTTTGGGTCTACATGGATTGTGGTGACAAACATGTCTGTGATGCTCACCGCCCACACCGTGGCCCTTGTCGTTATGCGTTTGTCGTTGTGCATTCGGACGTTCTGAAAGGATGTCCTCTGCCGAACATCTGCCCCGAAACAGAGCAACTTCTACAATGAAGGCCTTTGCAGCCTTCGCCGATCATCCAGCTTGCTTTGGGAGTGTCACACACCCATTGGAAAAATAGAAAACGCCCACAAAAGGACCTGTATGGACCTGTGATGGTTTCGTTGGGCAACCCAAGATAGCCATCTTGATCCATCTTGCCGTTCCTTGCCACTCCCAAACAAGACGCACCTGAGGCCAGTGATCCACATTGCAGCGTGCTGGTCTGACGGTGTCCAATGCATCCGCTTAGATGTCCAAAGCGTGGCGTTTGGTCAGGTTTGGTGTGTCTAGTAGCAATGGCCTCCAACCTAGGGATGGCCTCCAACCTAATAGTAATGGCCTCCAACCTAATAGCAATGGCCTCCAACCTACTAGGGATGGCCTCCAACCTAATAGCAATGGCCTCCAAC